TCGTAAGTCATTCATACTGAATATGTATTTGCAGTCCTTTAATAAGAGTTGCTCCACAAACATAATGGACATTTTGGCTAAAACAGATGAAAGTTTCCTGTAGCTATTTGGTATGATGAACTGTATTGAAGTAGAACCACCTAGTATACACCTATAGACGTGTCTGAGTGGAACTATCTTAATATTGAGTTTTTTTAAGTCACATAAAAGGCCAGAATCTGAAGTATCTTGGATTGTTGAAGGGCCAATCTCTTAGTGAAGACGAGGGTAGCTATTCCTATAGTTGTATTTGCTGGAGTCGTATATAGATAATACAGCTTAGTAGACTACTATCGTTAACTGAATATAGGATAGCATCACAAAGAGCCTGTGTGTGTTTATGATTTAAGTGAGTGATACCATAGAACAGTTTGAAGTAAAAGAGACATGATGGGGTGTCTCTTAGAAGATGGAGTTTCATTTTGAGAAAGGATCTAAAAGGTCTAATTATGCGGTCTGAAGCATTTTTGGAAAGGTATACGAGCTGCGTACGATATTCAACTTGTGGGATTATGACTACATTATACGTATAAATGAGCTGTTTGTCTGTTAACTTTTTATTAGTTAGTATTGTTATAGTGGCTTTTACATCTTGAACGGCCTGATTGATGGTGAATATCTTATTGCATCGTAGTGAAATCCATATACCGAGAAATCGCACTGAGTTTTTTAATTTGACTGAATTTATTACATGATCGTTATCACGCACGTTGGTAATAATTGTATGAGTGTCTGATAAATTTGTCAAAAGGTCCGATTTAGTCCAGTTAACTTGTATACTGTTTAGTTCATAAAAACTAATTGCTATGTTGATTATGTTAATTAAGTTATCCTTTGACCGAGCAATCCAAAGTGTGTCATCCATATATGCCAAGACTAATATTTTATATTGGAGGTTATTATAAGCTTTAGTTCGTATGTCTAATTTCAACCTGACTGACATGTTGTATCAAAGTCCGAGGATTGTATCTTGCATAGGAGTGGATCGTAATAGATACACTATAGGAGAGGAGAAATAATTTTACCTTGGTCAATACCTGAGAAAACTTTATATGTGTCTGTATTACCAAAAGCCGTGAAAACTTGATTTTCCCAAGAAACAAACATGTTGAGAATGAAAAATATAAATGCTTTTGGTAGTTTGAGTCTTTCTAAGGCTTTGACTAATATAAAAATGTTAACCTGATCGTAGGCTTTAGACATATCTTACAATAGGACCCACAGCTACTTTTTGTTAGTAAGTGCGTCATGTTTGATATTATTGAAAATATGTAATGATTTGAAAGTCGACCGAAATGGTAGACCTACGAAGTTGTGTCCTTTTAGTATACTATGTTAAACTAAAATTATTAAAAGATGTCTGTTGATCAGTTTGATTAGTGCTTTCCTTGAGTATTCCAGGAGCGTGATAGGCTGAGTGTTATTCAAGTCGTATTCCTATAGTTTAGGTTTGGGGATCAGATATATGTATGCTAAATTCCACCTATTCAGTATCGATGAAATATTTAAGCAACCACAAATTATGTGCTAGAAAAGTTTTTTGGCAAGCGGATTAAGATGTTTTAACATTTCATTGTGAATTTTTGAAAGACCTGATGCTTTACCATTAGCTAAGGATTTTATAACGTTGTACCATTCATCTTCTGTGAGGGTAACATTAAGGACTTATATATATTGAGATCGATGTTGAAGATCAGATTGTATATAGAGCCCCATTCCTCTGGAATCACTTTGTCTTCATAGGTGGTGCCAGCTTCTTTCTGAAAATGTTCATTTACGTTAAGTTTGACAGCACTTTCGTCTGTGAGCAAATCCTTAAAAGTTCTTGATAGATAGCGGTCAAGCACTATAGTTCTTCTTGATCGATTTAAGGTAAAGTCTAACATTTTACCAGGTTTCAAAATATAGTTTTTAAGGCGTTGGTTGAGTGCTTGCTGAATTGATTAAAGTTTATATTCCTTCTCGTGAAGTTTGGCTTTACAATGAACTATATTAATTAATAAATTTGTATCAGAGAGCAGAAGGTCAATGAAGTTGAACGGATAATCTGGAGTAGGGTGAGTGGTGACTAAGTTTAATGCATATGCAGTATTGATGTAGATATCATATAAACGAGACCAGGAGACCAGAAAAGATTTCCCATTTTTGATTGAGCGTAACAACTTGTTAAATTTGTGGAGTTCTTTTTGTTGTACATAAAGTTTGGACAAATAAGAAGATCTTGGGTATTTAAATTGTCCTGTTGATTTTCGAATGGAGATAGTTGATTCAGCAGCTTTAATCAGTAAATCCTGAAACTGATTCCACTGTTTGTTAAGTAATGTTTGTGTCCAAAAAGTGTTGACGTTCACAGTTTTCAGTGAGCAGCCATTTATGAGTGCATCAAATTTGTTCTCAAATTTGTTCCATTTATGATCATCCATTTTGTTGAAGTCGAAACTAAGTTTCGCCTTAATTTTTCTTTTGTTAAATTTGATATCTAAAAAGTTAGCACATTTTGTCATGACTGGTAAGTGGTCTGATATATCTGAAGCTATCGGAATGGTATAGCAATCTAGTATGTTAACAGAAAGTTCCATTTATGTCTATATGTAGTCAATTCTCGAGGTGCTTTGATTATTGGTATACGAAGGGAAATCAGTTCTTGTACAGTCATGTTTGAGGGTAAAGACATCAAACATAGACATTTTGAGCAACGTGTTGAAATACTTAAGTGCATTTGTCAGGTTGTGTTGGCGGTCTATGTCAGTATTGAAATCCCCTAGCACGGTTATATGATAATCTAATGATAAAGCTTCTTTGATCCATTTTGTGAGTATATGTTAGACTTCCTGTCTGGTTTTCAAGTCTGCAGGTGGTAAGTAATAGTTAATAACACATAGTTTTTATTTATTGGCGAACTGTAAGTCCACGTAAATCAATTGATATAGCTTTGTATTGTGCTTAAAAATATGATAGGCGATGTCTTTCTTTAATATAATTTCAACTCTGAAGGCTGTTCTCTGTCATGATGTAGAACTGAAAAACGATATGTGAGAGGAATGAGTTAGATTGAAATTCTTTGCATGTGTTTGTTTAAAATTAGTTTCTTGAAGGCCGATGATATCTATGTTATATTCAAAATAAAGGGAAAGGAGAAAATGTTATTTTGCAGTGTTTGTGAATAATCTGATATTGTGGGTAGCGAAGGTGAGATTTGGAATGTTTAGTGAAAGGGTGGAATTATTAGTATTTAAGGATATTGGAACTTCATTAATATCTGTAGAGATAGTAATCATGATTATTTGTTTTTAGAATTGAGGAAGGCTCTTTAGAGCCTTTTCTGCAGTTAAGTCATAATTGGTATTGAGAGTCATTATTTCTGCTGTTTTATCTATTGGTATTAAATTGTTTTGAACGAGGATCATTCAGAAAGTATTACATGAGTTTACCAAGCTATTTACCATTTTTGTGAAATGCTTTAGCCGTAAATTTTGGGCATTATTCAGCTCTTTGAGGGCATTAATAGTATTTCGTTGTTAGTTAATAACTGAATTTGATGTATCAATAGCCGGGGTGTCGTAGCCATACACCATATGTGTATCATCCATGTTTTCATCTGGAGCTAGGACTTTGATATTGAGGGTGTTTTCTATGGTATCCATTCTTTTCATAACGGAACCTATGGCAATTGTGAAGTCTTCAAGTTTCTGAGTTAATTGTAGGAAGCTGTCCTTAATAAATGCTTTGAAGTTGTCTTCATCATTGGATTTCTCATGCATGGAGCCTCCAGCTTTTGTACCAGTGGCTATATCACGTAATTCTATTAGAGTAAGTGTTTTATCGATAATATCCATATCAGGCAGGATGTCATCACTCCAAGAAGAGAGTGGTGTATTGTTCGGATTTCTTAACGCATAAGATCTATCTTTGTTGTTAGAAATACCAAATTTAGGCTTCATTGGAGATGTAGGTTTTTCTTCCTGTCTTCCTTTGGTTATTCTGGCAAAGGTCACATTTAGATTAATCACTCCTCGTCTAAAGCGGGACGGAGCCTTGTAGTTATTGTATTGAGCAAGCTGGAATCATTAATACAAGATTTGTGTATTTTTATCATTAGTGTTCTTCGTTTTTTTTGAGTATTCTTTAATTTTGTGATGGGGTGATGAACAGATAACACATACTTGTATTTTGTTACTTGTCTATTCGACATGTTTACCATTAATCATAAGGTGGTTATTACTGATTGCCAATTTGTGGTCGTCTGCCGATGCGAAATAGAAGAAGGCATATTGTAGGTTGTTATAGTTGAATCTAGCCTTAGGGATGATCCAGGTTATTATATTGATCATTAATTTAAGGTCGGATAAATCTTTGCCCATAATGTAATGTGGAAAGCACGTGAGCTTAGCCAAAAACTTTGATTATTCTAGTATTTGGTCTCTTGATAAGTTACATATATAGAATTGTACCATATCATTGAGGATGAAGACACTATGGCCTTTTTAAGTTCTGTAAAATTGGCATTGTTATCGTATATAATTGTAGCTTGTTGCCATAAGTTCTTTGTTTCTATGGTGAACCTAACGATCGGTTTAAATCTAGAAATAATTTTCTTAATTCTAGTTTCTGTTGCGTCCAATGGAATCTCTGTAACCTTGATTGATTATTGTGATACGAACGGATATTTGGGTATAATGTCAAGAGGCAAAAATATGCATTTTTCTAGATTAGGTAAGATGACCTTACAGAAAGCGTCCCTTTCATCTTTGTCAGAAAATTCGCTTTAAGTATACTTTCTGATTGGTTCTCTGGGTGTTTGGCTAGGGCGACACCTGAAAATGAATCAAGTCTATTAAATACGAGGTCTGTGATATCAAAAACTTTCGTTTGAGAGGATTTTCTAGGGTAGTCATTTGTTAGGAAGTAAGCGAAAAATTTCATCTTTTTTGTAAAAATTTCTTGAGAACTCTTCTTGTTGTTCAAAAATTTTCAGAAGCGTTATTGGCGTTGTTGACATTCATTTCACTTTGTTCAGTTGTGATAACTGAAGTTGGTTCATCTTGTAAAGCTTCTTTGCCCTTTCCTTTATCGAGCGAATAAGGGTCAACGTCCATAAGTAGAGTTTTGTCATTGTTGTTGCTGGTGGATATACTGCTTTTGGGTTCAACAGTTTGTAAGGTGTTTTGTTTTTTCTTTGGTTGTTGCTCTGGAATACCAGGGCGAGAACGAGTTGGTTGTTTTTGTTGGTCTTTTTTGTTCTCTTTTTTTGGTCGTGGCATTATAGCGGAAAGAGTTTTTAAAAAAAAAAATAAAATAAACAAAAAAAAATAAACAAACAAATAATATTTAAGTTTAAATGATCAGGTGTAATGTGAACTAATCACATGATTAAACAATTTACAAGAATATATAAACAAATAAAAAATATAAAGCAAAGATTATAACAGAAGAGTAAAGTTTTTTTTTTGCAAACTTTTATGAAATTCAAAGTGAACTTTACTCTTAATAAAAGTTATTAAATTTATCATTAATTATTATAATTAAAAAGCGCATTTGAAAAAGAATAAAATTCTACATGAAAAACTGTAATTGTAATATTTAATTATTATATAAATTAGTGTTTTATGTAATCTTAAAAATACAATAAAAATCAATAAAAAAAATTTTTTTTAAATTTATTTAAAAGAAAATTAATTATATTAAAACAAAAATAATAACTTTTAAATACTTTTATTTGATACTTTTTTTTTATAAAGAGTGGTAATTTCGCGATATACATTATATTGATATAGTATTTAATTAATTACACAAATATAATATTCAAAAAAAAAGAAAATTTGAGAATTAATACAGTTATGAAAGCTATTACTCAACGAATATTAAATCAAGTAAGACGAAAATTTATATGTATATAGATTCGGATATATAAAACATTTTTACTTAATACGCAGTAAGCAACTTACTTTAATCAAAGTGATCAATTATCCTGTAAAGTTAAAATAAAAGGTCCGCGATATTAATAAAGTTACAAAAACACATATTACAACACAAATATTAATCCAATTGAGATTAAATTTTATATTCAAATTGTATCGCATCTGCTAAACAACTTTTACTTATAAATGAAAGTGATTGACTTTGACCAAAGTGTTCAAATTTCCTTGTGAATTTAAAAAAGTGTAACTTATTTAGTAAAGTTACAAAAAAAATTATTTCTATACGAATATTAATCCCATCAATATAGGAAATTAGGTGTAAATAGTATCGAACCTGCTGAACAACTTTCGCTTAGAGATGAAAGGCGATTGACTTTGACCAAAGTGCTCAAATTATCCTGTGAAGTTAAAAAAAAGGTCCGCGATATTAATAAAGTTACAAAAACACATATAAAACATGACTATTAATCCAATCGAGATTATATTTTATATACAAATAGTATCGAACCTGCTGTGCAACTTTCACTTAGAAATGAAAAGCGATTGACTTTGACCAAAGTGCTCAAATTTCCTTGTGAAATCAAAAAGTGTGACTTATTTAGTAAAGTTACAAAAAAAATTATTTATACACGAATATTAATCCCAACAAGTTATAACATTAGATGTAAATAGTATCGATCCTGCTGAACAATTTTCACTTAGTTATGAAAGGTGATTGACTTTAACTAAAGTGCTTAAAATTCGTCATGAAATCTCTGTATTAATGTTTATAAAAAAATATACTAAATATATATAAAAATTAAAATTTACAAAAATAAAAATAATTACATTTAGTAAAGAGTTCTTACAAGTTTAAGTATTTAAAAAATA